AAAAAAAACCCCCCTAATGTATTTAAAAGTATAAAGGAAATTCTTGCATGAAATTAAGAAGCTAATATGTATAGTATATATCGATATAACAGCTGTTCGCGAGCAAAGAAATTGTCTGTTACGAATACAAATATCGATATATTTGAACATTTTCATATTAATGATCCGAGTTTTCTAATCTTTGAATGTTCGAATAAAAAAACACGATCACAAATGTTAAACTCTTTATTGATGGCAAATTACGACATCTTGAATTGTAACGTTACTGTATACAACTTTCCTACTTTCCGACCATATTATTTCTTTTCGAAATCGTTATTTATAGTATCGGTATTATTCATATCCCATATTATATTTAACCAAAAACACATTTCGGTCGTATTACTCACATGAAATACTCCCCGTGATGTGTAAAATTAGATCATACATTAATATTAAAGGATGCCGACAAATTTTGAGCCAATGGAATAAAAAGAAAAATGCAAACCACCGAAGAACGAGAAATATATATTGAACGAAAAGATAAAAAAAATATACTTTTTTATTACCAAAAAATTTGTTATTAATAATAATATCTTTTGCGATTTAATTTGTACCCGAACACGGTATTTACATTGTTTTATTAGCGCACAGGATTTTCCATAAACAAAAGTTTATGTTCTTACTGAATGCTGCGCAAACACTTAATCTTTATTAAATTTCACATTGAAATAATAGACAAGCGCATCGAGATATTTATGCATATTAGTCACTAAAAGCTTTCAAGTTTTTTATCATACATAAAAAAATTTCTAGTTCACTTTACAAATCTTTCTTAAATACATGTGCGCGTGCGCATACAGGAAAAAAAAGAAATAAATTAATACCTATTTTGTCTTATGATTTAATCACATAATACAGTATTAAGTATTAATAAGAATAAAACGCCTTGGTTTTATAGAATAAAATTGATATAAATCTTAATAAAAACCTTTATTACAGTATTTATATGTAGATAGATAGCTATCAAATAGTATTATGTTATACAATACTTCAAAAAATAGAGTTATTAAAAGTGAAAAGTATGATAACGGATAACAAACATATTTTTATATGTATTTTTTAGTGAATAAACTTTATATATGCTAAAATTCTATGTATTCAATAGAAAAAAAAACTGTATACAGATTAAAAACAAATAAATTATGTAAAGTTTTTGTTTAAAGATTTAGTTAATGAAATATTGTCCCATAATGATTGGCTTTTTTTGTGAACATGAGTTTTTTTAAGTGTATAAAAAGTATTCATTGCGATTTCTATATTAAAAAAAAAAAGTTTTTAACAATTCTCTGGAAAACAAATTAAAATTATCTCTACTTACCTTCTCTATTAATTCTTTCCATTATCTTCTTCAATTGTTTATAAACCACCTTAACATTTGGACGATTTTCTGGCTGGCCACTCCAACATTCCGAATATAATTCAACATATTCATTCGGGGTGCCTGGAACTCGACGTTCTCTTTTTCCAGCGCATATTTCTTCAACTAATTTAATTTCATTTGAATTTTTGAATGGAGGATATCCACTAATAAGTTCCCAGTACAATATTCCCAAACTATAAATGTCTGTAGATTTTGATAAATCCATAGATTTTGAATCGTCATTTAAAAATGTAGATGTAGATGTAGGTTTTAGTAATTCTGGTGCTATGTAAGCTATCACACCTAAATGACTTTTCAACGGATCAGATTCTAGAGATCTTGTAAATCCAAATTCTGTTAACTTTATTATGTTTCTATGGTCGTGAATTAATATATTTTTGCTATGCTATATTATACAGTATATATTATAATTTAGTTATCAATAAATAGAATCAATTGCATTTTTAATTCAAAATTTATTTGAACACTTACAAGATTACCATGAATTACATTTTCACCATGCAAATATTGAATTCCATTTGTGATTTGAAGTGCGAAATCAATCTTTTGTTTCCATGTCATAAATGAGCTATTATTTTTTAAATATTTTCTTAAATTTCCTTTGTCCGCATATTCTGTTATAAGCATATATATATTGTTGACGACATCTATATCACAAATATACTGTGTTACTACACAATTAGAATTTCAATTTATTCATTAAAGACAACTCGAAATGATAAACAATTACCATGAGTTATCCCTAAAAGTCGATTAATATTCTTACACATCTCTACCCTTGAATGTATTTTTATTTCTTTTAAAAAATCTTCTAGAAAATCTTCCCGAGCCTCTTCTTTAAGATACAACTTTTTGAGAGCAACAACATTATTTGTTTTCTTCCAATATACTTTAAAACTTCTACCCAAATATCCATAATTCAATGGCGCAATTATATTAAATTGAGAGTAAGGAATGAAAAATGGTTGTTCTTTAATTACAATAGCATGCATATCATCTATAACTGGTGTAATTGATTCCATGGGCTTTCCATTGTATAAGACAAAATCATTCTCCTGAGGATATGTTATTTCTTGGTTCAAAGTCAGAGATATTGGAATATCCATTTGATCTTCTGGCAGATAAGAGTTTGTGATTTTTAAATCTGATATGGAGACGGTCTGTTTTAGGCTTTTCGATCCAGGCGGACGTCTTTTTGAGAAAGAATACAAATTATTCACATGATGCACTGGCTTTGTACCAGAAGATAACTTTGAATATGTCTCTTCTTCTAAAGAAAGATTATCTGGTAAATTCACAGTATAATTTTCCTTAATTACCGAAAGTTTCTCTTTCCAAAAGTCTTTGGAAGGTTGCACAAGATTATTTCTAATAGAAGACAAGCTTCTTCTTCTATTATCAACGATTTGATTACATGTCTGAAAATTAGAAATTTCTGAAAAGGCTGCCTTTTTATGCTCTAAGCCAGAGTAAATAATATGTTTTATTTCCGTATTCAGAGCTTCTGCCACATCATTTCGAAAACTATCACTCTCAGAACTTGATCTAGTTGATGAAGACTTATACATGTGCATTTGATTGTTATTTAAATGAAGTTGCGTATCCTGAGATAATATGCCAGATTGCGTTTTTGCCGCAATATAAAGCTTATTCAATATTGCAAGAACTTCTTTAATATCAGGACGTTTCTCCGGTTTATCATGCCAACATTGTGTATACAATTGAACAAAAGCCTCGGGAGTTCCATCTACAGGCACTTCTCTATTTCCAATAAATATTTCAATACTAAGTTTGTCATTGGGTACTGAAGCAAAAGGTGGCCTTCCACTTGATATTTCCCATAGAAGGACTCCAAGACTATATATATCTGATCTTTTATCTCGTTTATAATTTGAGCTCTTATAGTATTGTGGGTCAATATATTGAGACATCTCATGGACCACTGAATTTATTGGATTGTCACTAACTTGTCTAGATAATCCAAAATCAGCAATCATCATTTTTCCTTTATGTACCAAGATATTCTTCGAATGCTTCAACAAAAAAACAGTGTGAGAACTAGAGAACATTTGTGATAATACGATAAAACATAAACATATATAGAAAGCTACCAAATCTCTGTGTATTATTTCTTCAGCATGCAGACATCCTAATCCTCGCGCTATCTCTGTAGCAATACCAAATTTATCCGTCCATTTCAACGACTCAAATTTCAATTTTAAAAAATCACGTAGATTTCCACCGTCTGCATACTCTAGCACCATTACGTAGTGTTCACTTAGAGGGTCTTTAAATTAATCATAAGCTAGCATTCATATAGTATATCTGAAAATGGAGATAAATGAAGATGAATAAAAACACAAACCTTTGATAACTCCAAGAAATTGATTAATGTTCGGATGATAATTAACTTTGCGCAAAAGTTTGAGCTATAGTATAATAGGTAAAACCTTGTTTATGCTAATTAGATGCGTTAAAATAGAATATCATCAGTTTTATTATTATTTATATACCTCACGCATGAATTCCTTCATTGCGACTTCATCAAATTTTAATCCTCTTTTTAGGCTTTTCAAAGCCACTTTTGTTCCACGACTTAGCCAGTTGGCACTATTGTAATGAATTTTCATAATAATAGTAATAATCTCACACAGCAACAAATAAGCTTAAATTATTAAAATGATCATTAATCATCTACCTTCTCACCGTTGCAAAACTCCCATCACCGATGTGTTTAAAATTAGTAAAATCTGCGTAATCGAATATGTTTATATAATTCTCCACTATAGCCTTTTCAAGCCATTCCTTATTTTCAACCATTTATTATTGCTTTTAGATAAATGTTTAACTTTTTATGTGCATTCACTGATGTAATTCTTTATTTATTATAGAAGGAAAAATAATGTCGATAATTTATTACGAACTATTAATCGCGAAAAAAAAACTTAAAACTCTAGTTATAAGCCTTATTTATAAGAATCTGATTTTTTATATGTACGAATGTACGTATTTACACAAGAAACGTGGCCAAAATAAAGAAAACACGTTGATCTTGTTAACACTCTAGTTTTTGTTAACATATGCATTATTAACCTGGCTTGTTATATATTTTACGATAATATATATGTAAATTTATATGTAAATATATATGCAATATTATGATTGCTTATGTATCATACTTTCAAAGACGTGATTGTGGTTTAGCGTTACACCCGTAAAAAACACTGCAGTGTTTATTAATTCATAAGTACCTGCAGCAAATCTAAGAAATGCACTGAAAAGTGTGCACAACGACGTTGAAAAAGGCTAGACCGGTTCTTTATAAAAGGTCCGGTTGCACAAAGATACTTTCCTACTAAAACTAACAAGACTCGAAATGCTAATGTAGGCTTCGATCGAAGCGTGGAGAGTATTAGGATCTTGTGCATTGAACCTACGGAAGTAGAGTATCCTTATGTCCTACAAATCCGGACCTCCGATCAAATTTAGATGGGTCAGTCTGTACGAGGCTTGGGTCGTTTGCTAGGAAAACCATCGTTTGGCATTTTCTAATTTTAAGATTTTTTTAATCACTGATTCTTATTTAAGTGCTGTACAATTTTTATTATACATTAGCTTAATAATTCTTCGAAGATATAATCAGTGGTGCTAACGGGCCGTGAGCCAAACGGCTACGGGTCTACTAATAAACTATCAGTTCCAAAAATGGCTCGGCATCAAACTATCAGCTTTAAAACGGCTCGGTTTGCATCACATGACATTAGCCAATAAAAACTATATTTTTAAATCTAGCATTTCATTAAACAAAGCAAGCGGAACTTTCAATTGAATACAATTTCTTAGGAAACCTTTATTGGTTACATGTATTAAAAGCTGAGAACAGTTGGCTAAAAATAGACTTTAAGAAGCTTTGTATATACCGGTATATAGTTTAATTTTTATGTTGAAATTTATTTTGTTCTTAATGAGGTTAATGCGTTAGGCAGATATGTTTTGGATTAGTTAAAGACGAGTGAGGAGTTGTTTAATATAATACAGATAAATAAAGAATAATCTTTGTTCATCATAAAATTATTTGTTAGTATACAATCGCAATTGAATTTCTTT